GTATGCTTATACGTTACATGGGAATTCAGAGAATTGTGGTAAGAGTTACATGAATGAACTGATGTATCATGAAGAAAGCAGAACCAGGAAAACAAAGAGACAATGACAAAAATAATGTAAACAAAGCCAAATGAATTTAGATTAAATTGGCTTCAGAAAACAGACAATGTGGGGCAGCTAGGCAGTGTAGTGGATAAAGCAGCGGTCCTCTAGTCAGGAGAACCTGAGTTCAAATCCAGTCTCAGACCAGACACTTGACACTTACTAGCTATGTGACCCTGGGCAAGTCACTTAACCCTACTGCCTAGCAAATCCCCCCCCCCAAAAAAAACCCCAAAACAGACAATGAAACATTTCCCTCTTCTGAGTAAAGAGGTAGGAGACTACTGGTAAAGAATGTTGCGTGTGCTATCAGATGAGACTGCTTCTTTGCTACAAGACTAATTTCTTTGTTACGAGAGGATACAAGAAGGAGGAAGGAGGTACAATATAATATGAGAATATTGCCATGGCACATAAAAAGACATCAATAAAACTTTTTTTAAAAACTTGCAAAAATAAGGGCTAGCCTACTCTTCTCTGGCCTTCCAGAGTAGAGGAAGGCCTTTCAAATTTCCTTCATTCAAATTTTGTCAATTTTATTCTTAATAATTTAAATAAACCACAGACCAGATATTCTAGAACTTCAAATATGAAATCCCAAAGGATTTAAGAACAGCAAAATATATTTCTTCCAACCCTCTACTTCCCCAAGCTTAGATAGTGTAAATACCATTAAGAAATTTCTCTAGCTCTCAGTTTAGCTCTCTCAAACTGTTAACCAGCCCCTCTATTAAAGCTATGCAGGTAAAACATCAAACTTGTTTTGTTTTACATCAAGTGTCTTAAATTAGTTCCTTCTCCAATTCTTCACAAAGTTAACAAAATCAAGCACTCTTCAATACCTGTCATGAAAGAAAGCATGAATTCTTTCTTCAGTATAAGTTGGAAGGCATTATTAAAAATGGCAAACACCAAACAACAGAGAAAAACTGAAACTGACTATATCATAACAGGAAATGACTGGTTATCAGTGTGGGGGCATAGACTATCAAAATATGAGAGCAGAGATAAAAATCAACATAATTTAGAAATTTAAAGATCAGAAGAAAATAGTATATCCAACTAAATTAGTTCCAACTTGATCTATTTAAACATTGGAAATGAAAAAAGAAATGGACAATGGCTTTAATCAGTTTATAAGAAATTCTAAGCAATTTAGCACAATCACTACAATGTGGAAGCCAAGTAAGCCTAGAAACCATCTCAGCCAGGACTTATTCTCTTTGCCAGGCAGAGAATGATGGCCAAGGGAAACACATTTCAGAATAGCAAGTCATTTACAAAATTTTTACAAAAGACCCTGGTAGAGTGTGAGCAGTATCACCTCAAAAAGCAATAGGAAGTGGTAAAGGGAAACCTTACCATGTGACCTTTTATAATCTGATCAATGTAGTGCAGTAGAGAGCAGGATTTGGAGTCAAAAAAGTTGGTTTTGAATGCTCCTTTGCTACTTATAACCATTGTGATCTAATGCAAGTAAGTCAGCCTTTTGAGAACTCAGTTTCCTCATCTATAAAATAAGAAGACTGGACCAGATCAGTTATCAAACTGTGGTCCACAGAGACTTTTCATGGCATCTGTGAGGGTAAAAAAATTTTTTTAAATAAAAACAAAAAATCCTATTTTCATAATAATATCTGCCTATTAAAATCCTATATCCATGTACAATCAGGTTTTCTTCATATATATCGACCAAAATAACCTATCACAATAGAATGAATGAAGAAGCAAATATAAGGGGCAAATATAAGTGGCGAGGTGGATAAGTCACCAGCCCTGGAATAAGGAGGACCTGAGATACTCATTAGCTATGTGACCCTGGGGAAGTCACTTAAGCCTAATTGACTCCCCACCACCAACTACCTCCAAAAAAAAAAAAAGGCAGAAATAAGAATTCAGCTGTCTCCTATTAAGTCAGGCATTAAAGAGATTTGCAAAAATACACAGAACAATGCCACTCTTCTCATTAAACATTTTTTGTTTTGGAAAATGTTTTTTTTTTACAACAAAAAATTTTGATACAAAATACGTTTGTTATTTTTTAAATGAATTAATAGTTGAAAACTTTGTTTTGGTTTCTAATACAGTAAATACTGATAGCTATAACCCACATAACCAAAAGTACTTTGAGGTCCTCAACAACTTTTGAGATTGTAAAGGAGTCCTGAAACCAAAAAGTTTGAGAGCTATTGGGCCTAAATGAACTCTCAGGTCCTCTTCAGCTCTAAATCCAAGAACCTGTGAAAGATTGAACAATTACATTATTGTTACAAGTACATTATAGTCCATTGATTCACGGAGGCTAAATCTGTGCTTTATTGCTCCAGGTTTTAAACTTGATAAATAAAACAGTAAGTAAATTATCTTACTATTTTCAACTCAATCAATGTTCAAGTTTATAAGTCCCCTAAAATGGCACTTTGGTTACCAAAGGGCCAGTTAAAAGGTTCTATATAATGATTTCTTCCTGGTCAAACTGGGTTGACTAAAGGAAAGCAGTATGTGATCTAGAGGGAAAGCATTTAACTGCCTGATAATAGGTAATGGAGTGAAAAGTTCACTGAGCAATAGAAAGACTTCTGTCACTAGCTAAAAGACACATGAAGAAAGGAGTTTAGGGCCTTCAATACCTTTGCCCTACAGGAAAGGATAGAGACAGATGAACTGCCCACCTCATGTCAATGAAGAAGGAGAAAGGTCCAATATTCAATATCTGCCTCCTTACTGGATCTTGGATTTGAGCAATCCTGCACAGTCCTGGATTTTTACTTTAAAAACAGGAATGGCAGGGCAGCTAGGTGGCGCAGTGGATAGAGCACTGGCCCTGAAGTCAGGAGGACCTGAGATCAAATCTGACCTTAGACCAAACACTTGACACTTACTAGATGTGTGATCCTGGGCAAGTCACTTAACCCCAATTGCCTAAAAATAAATAAATAAAATAACTTATAAAAAAACCAGGAATGGTACCCAGTAGGCCCTGTGGAAACCAAGATCCCTATTTAAGTCTTCTCACCCCCCAACCCTGTTGAGTTCCTGACTTTCCTATTACTTTGCCCCAAATTCCCTGAGCAGTCATTTACTCTATTGATAAATGACAAGACCTACCTAGATTGAGGGAAGATCACAAAATTATACAATTAGAGATGGAAGGGGCTTTGCTGTTCAGTGCTTTTTCAGTTGTGTCTGACTCTTCATGACCTCATTTGGGGTTTTCTTGGCAAAGATACTGAAAGCAGTTTGCCATTTCCTTCTCCTTAAGGCAAACAGAGGTTAAGTGACTTCTCAGGATCACACAGCCAGTAAGTGGCTGAGGTCACATTTGAACTCAGGAAGATGAGTCTTCAGGACTCCAGGCCCAACACTCTGTGCACTATGGCGCCCCCTAGCAGCGCAGAAGGGGCTTTAGAGGCCATCTAATTCAACTTCTTCATAAACAGAAGCCCAGAAAGACTAAACAACTTATTCAAAGTCACCCACATGGTGACCAAGTGAAGATGTGAACTCGAGCACCCAAAGCAAGAATTTGTTCCCCTGTAATCCACCGCCTCCAACTCAGTGCCTGGGCCAGGCGATGGAGGCTGGGAAGGGAGGACCTGAGGAGAGTGTCATAGTTTCCTGGGACAGGAATACAGAATGGTACTTTGGAGCTGTGGGCCTGGGAATGAAGTGAGGAGGAACCTGGATTCTGGGAAGCAGCTTTGCCTTAAGTGGTCAGTTACAGGCACCACCCATTGGATTTCACCTGTATCTTGTTCTTTTTATCCATGTAACATTGTCAACAGTCAACATGCTTTTATCAAGCACCACTATGTACCACGCTGATATACTGTAATCACTTAGTTCCCCTATTGGACTACAAGCTCCATAAGGCAGGAATTGTTTTAGCTCAACTATGTGTCCAAGAGTCCAGAGTAGCCTTTTGAACAAAGGACTAATCAATCAACAAGTATTTATCAAGTGTCTACTTGGTGCCAGGAATTGTGGATAAAAAGCTGAGAAGGAGAATCCCCGCCCTCATGTACCAGCAGCAGACAACACTTCCTGGCAAACAGAGGCAGAGGCACAAGGACATGAACTCTAGGGCAGAAAACTTATCACACTTCTAGTAGCGAGAATATTGATTTATTGCTTCCTAAGGAAGAGAAGGATGTGGGTCATTTTTATGGAGGCAGAAGAGATGAGAAGATTCACTTGCTGGGTAGGTCCTGGTAGATGGTGAGCTGGGAAGCACTAAATCAGTCCCTGAGGTGATGCTGGCTGCTCCGGTTCAATTCAACCACTTACAATGACTAATATTTATTGTTCCTCGGCTGTTGCCTAATGGAGTTACCTGAGCCAGATTTGGGGGAGATGCAGAGCAAGGGCTCACTAGCTTCAGGGCCAGAAGCCATGACTTCCCATCCAATTTATTTTAAGGTCAGTTGTTTTTCCACTGTTTGTCCTCTCCCACTCTGGACCCTTCAGACCTGCCTGGAACTGCTTAACACAGAGCAGTTCTCCCTGCTCCACAAGAACACTTCTATGGGTCTCATATGCCCTGGGAATGGTGCTCTCTGGAGTTTCCATTGGGACTTTTCCTTTGGGCTGGAAGAGAGACAGCTTATTCTCCTGCCTCTGCTCCCAGAGTGGGTCCTAAGAGTTGGAAGGTATAAAGTAAGGGTACCAGTAGGCCTTACAAATTCAGAAGTGTCTGCCCCCATCTGAACTGTACTCCCCTCCTCACTGGCCTAGTTTTTTCAACAATTATGATTCCCCTGGTTTGAACAAAATGATAGCTCATATCAAGATTATTCTAACCCTTTTCCATTCACGATTAAATGGAGTCACAAGGGAATAGTAGTATTGGCAGAATAACGGGGTCACATATTCCCTCTTTTTCTGGATCATGACAAGCATTTCAGTCTCATTTACACACTTGGGTCTGTCTTTATTTCTAAAAAATAAAAAAAGTCCAAAATATATAAATATATACATATATACATATATACACAGCAATGTTGCTTCCAGCCTTACCATCGCCCCCTACCTGTCCAGAATCAGATTGCCAACTGGCCAGCATTTGATTAACTTGACTGATATTTTATCACAGAAGCTTGTTGTTGTCAGTAAAGACTGAAGTTATCTATCTGGAATATGCCACCATGGAACTCTGAATGCTAACTGAAGTGTAATTTTCTTACTTTCTTTATCTTTCTCACTTTAAAAAAAATGCTTATATGGAAATGTTTTGTACGATTTCACATGTATAATTGATATCACTGCTTGCCTTCTCAGTGGGTATGGAAGGGGGTGAGAGGGACAGAATCTGGAACTCAAAATTTAAAAAGAATGTTAAAAATAATCAACTGAGATGTTTTTAAAAAGTGAAACAAAAATGGAATATGCTATATGCAAATTGGTAGAAAATGTTAACATGGTGATAACAGCAGAGAAGCTCTCACTGATGTATCGTGTTAAGGCTTTTTTTTTTTAGTTTAGATTGCAGTAATCATAGACCAGACATACTCAAGTCACACCTCTAAAATGTGCTCTAAGATCCACTGAGATGGGCATTAAAAGGAATACCATAGTGGAGGTCACTCTGGGGACCAAGATGGAGGGTGGGCCTTTGTCCCAGGCCTAGATGGAGCAGTCCACACTGCTGTCTTGTGTGGCCAAGGGCTGAGGAGAAGCTGTTTTAATCTGAGTCACTCTCCTCTGGCTTTGCAGATTCCAGGTCATCTTCTTGGCCTCTAAGTCTTTCTCCTACAAGGAAAAAGACAGTTTAGAAGGGCTATAAAACAGGATCCTCAAGGATGGCCTACTAAATGACATTTTGGCTTAAACAGACTCATAATGAGTCCGTTCTGGGCTGAGGCAGTCTAAAAGTTTTGTTCAAAGCCAAATATATTCAAAGGGATGGGCTCTGAAAGTAGGAGGGCACAGGGCATACTCTATTTCAGGCTTAAAGGTCATATGCCACACCACCAGGGTCGTGAGAAACTAATTCAGTGGGAAAACTGCTCAAACGGGATCAAAGAACTCTGGGTTTGATCCTGGCCATTTAGCCATGCTACTTAGGACAAGTGGCTTAACCTTTATGGACTTCAAAATATGAGGTCTAGAAAAAAATGACCTCTAAGGTTCCTCAGCTCTAAAGCTATGATCTTAATCAATGCCAGCTCTAAAATGGCTGCTCAAACTTAGGAAGAGGGCACCATCACAGTGTAGACCTTAAGGGACCAAAACAACACCCTTTAGAATTTGTCTTGGAACCAGTGGAAAGCTAGTGCTTCTTTAACTTGCTTGTGACACTCCACTGGCTGCGACCTAAGCCAGAGGTCAATAAGCTTACGGATTAGCTCGGCAATGGCTCTCTGCGTCCTCTTCTCTAGCTTTTCCAGTTTCTTAGCCACATCTCTCTTTAAGTCCCTGGAAATGAGAAAAAAGAATGGGAACTGATTACTTTCACACAGCAATATATCTTCCTCAAAAGAGATTTAAGGTCTGTGAATTCTGAAAGTAGATGCTTACAGAAGCTGGAGGAGAGATGGTTTGCATCTACAACAGTGGCTGAGTGTCTTCCAGTCAGATCAAAGGTAAAATTATAAAGTAGCTTAACTCACTGAAATTTAGTATCTATTAAACTTCTACTTTGTAAAAAGGACATAAATGAGAATAACGCCCAGGGCCTCAAACTTATATTTGTAATCTAGCAGAGGAGATGATCTTATAAAACTGACTATATTACAACTCAGAATATAACATATAGGAAAAGTACATGCTAAAATTCTATGACAGATGTGAGGAGGGAGACTATTTAAACTTATTTTAAAATTGAACCAAACCACAAAAGATGGAGATTATTTCAAAAGACCAAGACTGGGAAGGGGCATTTCCAAGCAGAGGAGACAGCATAAACATACAAAGGTAGGAAAAAATAGTGCTAAAGGTAGGATTTAAAAGTAGGTATTCTTGACTCCATGTCTAGAATTCCAGCTGCCATGCCATGCTACTTCTCAAAATATGTCTCTTGAACAGATCCTGCAGATGGACAATGAAGTAGGCCCATAAATGAAGAGAGGAGAATAACAGCTAACATTTTCCAAAGCACTTTAGGTTAGAATAGGCTTGGGAAATTTCACAATGCTTTAAATGACCATTACCTCCTTGAAACAAAGGTCTACCCTCATAACACCAACTTTCTCACAGGTTTGCTATAATGGCTAGGGAACATGGAGTGTCCAAAGAATTAAAAGCTGAAGGTCCCTCAAAGGGCAGTGGATACATTTCCAGTAGACATGAGTAGTCAGAAGCCTATTGCCAATAAAGAATCACAGGAGAAGCAACATTAAATATATGATCAAAGAAATGTCTGACAAGGAAAGGAGCCATGATGGAGAATAATGGTTAACCAGGGAAAAGCCCTGGGAGCTACTATCCAAAGACGCAGAGAAAGGCCTGTACACACTGATGGAACCCTTGGAGGACTCATGGAAGGACAGACATGGATGTTCGAGAAGCAGCATAGGATGAGCTGGCATAAAAGGACTGCAATCTAAACCAACGGAGGGAGTACCCTCATCAAAATCACAGACCTAGTAAAAGTTGAGTAAATAAGTAGAGACAATTGACTGGGGAAAGCTTTCTGGAAGACAAATATTTGTCTAAGACAGGGATCATTGGAGCATGTTTATTGTGCAAAAAAAGATCTGATGAAAGAGGAGTGGAAAAAAAAAGATAGGCAGAGGCAGGAGAGAGGAAAAGAGAATGATTGATAAACTAAGGTCTTCAAGAAATGTATCTTAACAGTTCCACAGGGTAGTACCCACTCCACTTTTACCTCATAGACCGTTGAGAGTTAAGTGCTCTGTAAATGTAAAGGGACATATAACATGATTATTAGTCTTAAGACATTCCCTCTCTTCTAACCCGAATCTTTTTTTTTTTTTTTGCTTTTAGGCAATTGGGGTTAAGTGACTTGCCCAGGGTCACACAGCTAGTAAGTGTCAAGTGTTTGGTCTGAGGCTGGATTTGAACTCAGGTCCTCCTGACTTCAAGGCCGGTGCTCTATCCACTGTGCCACCTAGCTGCCCCCCAGAATCTCTTCTCAAAAAAGGATCTAAAACTAATTAACATTAAAATAAAATAATAAAGGGTTATCTCTAAGCAGTGCTGCTCCAAGAGCCTTTTTCCAAAGTCAAGTGTCTTTGGCAATACTAGTGTATACTCTGCATATTCTTTGGCTTGTGGAATGAATCAACACAGTGTAATAAAAAAGTTGTTTCATCACAAACAGGGTCATCCTCACTAATTACAGTGAAGAGGGGGAATAAGGTTTTAAGTACTTACTATGCACCCAGGAACTGTACTATGCCCTTTGCAATTATCATCTCATTTAATCCTCATAACAATCCTGGGAAGTAGGTGTTATTATTACCCCCATTTTACAGTTGGAGAAAGTGAGACAGAGAGAAATTAAATGATTTGCCCAGGGTTACACAACTAATAAAGGTCTGTGGCCAGATTGGAATTTCAGGCCCAGTACTCTATCTGCTGTACCAACAGCTGCCTCATGATGGGGTTGTTCCCACATACAATAGTACGAAAAGCTGGGCAGGTGATCTATGGAACCTTTCAGTCTGAGTCAAACCAAAACAGCCTTAAAGGAATGTTACGGTTTCATTCAATCCTTCAGTAGGTCAATAGTCAACCATGTACACTAGGCTAAAACAAAATGGAATATGCTAAGTATATAAGAATAACAGGAAAAAAAATGGTACTCTAAGAGTTCAGGGCTAAAGGTTATTTTCAGCTGGGGTATGAATAAGAAGACTTCATGGAATAGATGATATTTGACCAGGTTTCTAAATGATTGTCAGGAAGGATTCAAAGAGGCAAAGGCCAGGGGCAGAGGGTTAGACTGGCAAAGTAATTTTCTCCCAGCTAGAAAGCAATGAAAACTACCCACAAGAAAACAAAGCATAGCCCTTGACTAGAAAAGAGGCCTTTGAGAAGAGAGGATGAAACAAGAACACCAGTGTGGAGAAGACTGCTTCACCCTTTTTGGGGTGTGGGAAAAGACAACATGGTCCAACAAGCTGTTGGGCACATAACTTCTGCCCACTACAAGAAAAGGATGTGCCACAAAGTCAACACCTCATGTTGCACTCAAGTGAGATGGCTCTGGGCCCTCCCCTGGGCAGCCCTTTCTCTGGAGGAACCAAGATGACAAGTGCCCCAGAGCACTTCTCATAACCACTTGGGACAACAGACTTCTACCTGTGACACAGATGCCAGCTAAGCAGAAAAAGATGCAGTCTATTAATTATCACCTTTGCATTCAATTCTCACTATATTTAATTGCCCCACCACATGCACTGCGAATAATTTATCACCTGTGTTTATTAACAGACACAGAGCTTTCTGTGTCTATTACCTGCATTTATCTTCAAAAGTCTGTTGCAAACTCAGTGCCTCCATGAAGTCTTCTTAGACTAATCCTACCCATCTCTAATTACTCCAGCAAGCCCTTAGCACTGATGGAAACTGCTATATTCCTTACTGCATTTGTGCATGTCTGTCATCCAGTTTAAATATTTTTCTTATATGCTTCACCCAGATCAGACCAAAAACTCCTTAAGGATAGGGATCTGGATCTGGCCAGCTCCTCCCAAATTGGAAACCCTGTGCTTCCTCTATCAATTAAATAAACAGAAAAGGGCACAGACATGCAAAGAGAATTTAATCAATGTTTACTCTTCAAGGAACAGTACCATTTTCTAACCATAAGATAAAGTATATGTGAAATCTCATCCTGCAATTCAGACATATGCATGCAAACAAAGGAAAGGTTGTGCAACATAGAAAAAAACATACTAGATCTGCAGTCAGAGGCCTGGGTTCAAATCCAACCTTTGCTACTTACTATCAATGTGAGCCCTCTGGGCCTCAGTTTCCTTACAAGCAAAATGGGGATGATAATACCTGTAATATCTACTCCACAGGATTGTGAAGAAGCTCAAAAGAGATAATGGATGTCAAGGCCTCCCCCACTTGAACGTGCTTTATATGTGATCAGCTATTGTTGCTGCTAGTGATGGACCAATTCTATGAGCCCTTCAACTGTCTCTTGTAGTCTGAACATGAGGTATTCTCCGGATTGTTTCTTCCTGGGTGGGCAGCTAGGTCAAATGCTCTTGAGTCTGGATCTCATCTAGGAGTGTCTCCCAACAATAAATTTTATGGTCTATCTATAAAGTTCAATGATCTGTGACCAACAGAGAGAACTGGAATGGCCCCTGAAATCATACAATCCAACCCTCTTGTTTTATGGAGAGGGCAAAAGTAATTTGCTCAAGGACATAAAGCTGGTAAGTAGCAGAGACAAGAGTCAAACTCACGTCTTCTAACCCCAAGCTCAGCACTCCCTCCATTGCTATTAGTTGGAGTTGGCTATCCAGTAATCAAGAATATTCTTCTGACCTGGGCTCCTTTAGGGTAAACTCATTAATGAAACAGTAGAAGAAAGTAGCCTAGGTCATTGTCCTTTCAAGAAGCCATTAATAGTCTAGCGGTTTTTGGAACAAGATGCTCAGGCCACCAGGTAACGAGGGCAGAGTGGTGCTAGGGGCAAATCAAGCCCACGCAACTGTCACTAGGTGGAGCACAAGACCTCCAGGAACCTCTTTTAAAACACAAAAGACAGATTAGGAACTGCAGCAATCGTTTTCACTTCAAAGTCAAAAACACATGACTAAGTCACATGCACATATACACAAAAAATAGACTAGGGCATTTTGTAATTCATCCCATTACCTGCTGTCCTAACCTAACTCAGTCCTCCCCTTCAAAGACGGATTTGCTGGAAGCAGGAAGCTATTCCCTGGCCTACAAACAACTAAGGAGAGATAAACAATAGCTAATTATGTTCATGTCTGAGCTATGGCTTCAAACTCCAGGTAGCAGCAGAATACACAGGGCAAAGAGTTGAGCTTAAAGTCAGGTATGATTTCACTTGTCTATATCTGAGATCCCATTATCTATAAGGTAGGAAGAATAAATCCTGTTCTTCCACACTTTGTAGGAAGGTAATGAGAACAAGTGAGATAACATGGAAAATTGCTTTGAGCTATCTCCCCCCCCCAATTACCTTATAAACAAAAAAGGGTTAAAAAATAAAAACTCCCCCATTTCTGAAAATAAACTTTTAGGAATTTCTCTTACAAGGTCAGACCACAGGCAGACTAACCCCAGGTCCTCTGTTTCTCCCCTTCTGGACTCAATTAACAAATGGATCAGGGGCTTAGTAGGCCTGGCCCTTCTTGTCATCCTTCATACTGAACATCTCTCTAGCCAGGCCTCTTTGAAGAAGATATCCTAGCTTTCAAGGACCTTCTTCAGAATCTGGTTATCATAGCCTCTGGTGGGTGGCAGCTGGCCTTAAGATCTTTCTCCTTCCACTTTGTGTTAAGATAATGTTTAAGGTATGCTTGAGCTGTCTGATGTCAAGAGCCGTACAAAGTCTTCCATCATAAGAAAAGGGTCCACTCTATTCCATTCCAAAATGGGTGGGGAGACAGGAGGCAGACCAGAAAGGCACTGTCTGAATCTATTCTGGCCGACATTCTCACCCTGAGAATTGGCTAAAGCAGTCATGAAAAGAAGACCTGTCTGTTCAGGATATAAAAGAAATTGAAATTATTTTCTCTTCCACTATTATTGCAATTCAACTCCCAGGCAGCTGCTGGGCGGGGGAGCAACAGAAGTGTGGCTGGGAGTGACTAGAGGAGCTTTTGGCTGCTATTACTGAGTTTCTGAGAGTGCTTCACAGAGCGGCCTTTTATGCCAGGGTACCCAGAGTTTTAGCTACACTGAACTCATGGAGAAAAATGTAAGTCAACTTCAACCATACTTTTGGAAAAGGTACTGTCAAGTCAAATCATCAAAATGAAAACTAGCATGGAAAGGACATAAATAGCTGGGCTGGTACAGTGGAAAAAATGCTAGAATTGGAAAGAGGAGGCCTGGGTTCAAATCCTGGCTCTTATCCTCAATAACTGATATGAATATGGGCCAATTTCACCTTGTTAAACCTTTGTTTCTTCATCTGTAAAATTCCTCCTATCTCATAGGACTATGTATGAGAAGCACTTTGCAAATGTAAAGTACCATAGGAACATTTGTAATTACTACAGGAAAACAGTAAGGGGGGCTCTTTACTTCAAGAAGAAAATGTCTATGGGAAGCAACACTTACCAATCTGGCTTTCTGGGGGCAAGGTTGGCCAAATCCTAGGGAAAAAGAAACATAATGTCAATAGAACCAGAGCCCACAGAAAGAGAACACAGAGGCACACTACTCAAGGGAAGGAAATCTAAATGGTTTCCCTGTGGACTCTCTTGTGTCCAAAAAGGGACATCCTCCAACTACTTTCTCATCATTATAATCATTATAATGTTCCACTGCATATATTTTGTAAATAATTTACCACCCATGTTTGCTCACAAAAGTAGATGAATAGTGACTATTACCTGTGCTAGATGCTAAGTTCCTAGAAAGCAGGATTTATATCAGTTTAACACAATTATTTGGTGCTCAAATGGGAACCTTGATAAAGGCTTGTTGTGATGGGCTGGGGGATAAAGGAGGGGAAGAAGAGAAACATCATTTAATAGACATACCACTTCCTCAATAATGGGCTCAGGCTTTGCTGCTTCCAGCTGGTCTTTTACTTTCTCTTCCACTAGAAGGAGCAAGAAAACAACACAAGGTAAAGGCAATGACTCAAGCAGGAAGGCAGAGCCAGGCAACACAGGAAGAGGCCCCTGGAAGAAATTGCCTCAGTGGTCAGCAGACACACACAATTAACATGCCTTCCCACTGTATTTTTAGCTTCAGATGTGCCATGGCAGGGGACATCATTTTCTCTGCATTCTGTGCCAAGGCAGTTATCTGTCTCAACTGGGGGATTTTGTTTCACTGTCCTGTCCTGGGCGTCAGTATCGCACACAAAGAGCTGACAAGAGCTTCTTCTTCCTCCTAAGCTTGGACTGCACTGGTTTCTAAAGCTTTCCAGAGCACATTCACCTGAAAAGCAGCTCCAAGATGCGAGCTAGGACTGGTTAAACCCCGGGAAACACACAGATGACTAAATAAAACACTGGATTTAAAGTCAGAGGGATTCAAATCCCAGCTCTGCTACTACCTATAAGACCTTAGCAAAGTCTTGTAACCTCTCATCCCAAATATCTGCAAAACAAGGGAAGCAGGAAGAGGGAGTGGTAAAGGCAAGGGTTCAAACTAGACAGGGAAAGCATGGTTAATGGAAATACCATTGGTTCTAAACATTTGCTCACTGGAATCTCAGTTTGACTTCTTGCTATGCAACTTTGGGCAAGTCACCCAACCTCTGCGAGCCTTAGTTTCCTCATGTACATTTGAGGAAGCTGGGCAAGAAGCCTGCCCCACAGCAGACCGAATGATGATCAAGAAATCCACTAAGAGAAACTTCACTAAGTGACATTTTCCATACCAGAACTAGACAAAACATTAGTCGGTAGCTCATGGGCAGAGAGAGGGTGGGAAAGCTGCAGAAGGTGTACAGGGAGACATACATTTTTGGACAAGGATCTGTTTTCCATGACTATGCTTGTCACAAGGGGATCTTTTTTCTTTTTCTTTAAATAGGAGATTTGGGGAGAGAATAGCAATACTGATGCAAAAAAAAACAAAACAGTAAGGCCATTGAAATACTTTTAATTGTTACACAAAACATACTTTTAAAAAAGAAAGTGCTATGAAATAGATTCAGAGTTCATATACAATTCTTTTTGTGTTCTGATCTGCATATTGAAATGCTCCCCTTTTTTCGGTGTTTACATTCAGAATTTTTTTAAAAAAATTTAATGAAGGGATTGCATTAGATGACTTTTAAGGTACATTCCAGCTTTAGAACCAATATGCAGAAAGTTCATTCAAATTCTAAATTTTAAGATCCTAAAACTGACGTTTCATGTAACCATCAGGTACTTCAATGGATCTGTGACCTTATTAACGTGGACACTCCCTACAATAATACAAATTGAAACCCAACTAGACCCCTTCCTCTAGTATTAAATTTTGTCTATGTCTTTTCATATATCCTGGATAAAAAGGGTCTACCCAATGGGTTGGGGGACCACTCTTCTCAAAATGTCTTTAAACATTACATGGCTAACCTACACCATATGGATGATTCAATTATTACCATCCTTGCTAAATGACCAGCTCCCTCTTTTTATGGTCATAGAGCTCATAGATGACATCTTTCATGACACTTCTTTACAATTTATCTATGCCTATCATGTATCTTCCCACTGCTGTTGCTGTCAATGTCATCACCACATTCATCATCACCTATAGCTCTTTAAGGTTTGCAAAGCTCACTGCTTAGGATTAACGCCTGAAGGAACACGCTGACCAAAGAGGGCTGCAGTGGCACTGGAAACCCTGTGGCTAGTGGCACAGCAAAGCTGAGAAAACAGAGGGCATGACACTCCCATCTCCTGACTCTCTGTGTTCACTGTCCCCCACTGCCTGGAACTCTCTCTCTCTCTCTCATCTCCACCCCTGGCTTCCTTTAAGTCTTGGCCAAAGTCCCCACTTTCTGCAAGAAACTTTGCCCAGTCTTCCTTAATCTTTGTGCCTTGGCAAAAAAAAAAAAATCTTTGTGCCAGGGGCGGGGGGGGGGGTGCGGCGGGCAGCTAGGCAGTACAGTGAATAGCACACTGGACCTAGAGTCAGGAGGACCTGAGTTCAGATCCGGCCTCAGACACTTGATACTAGCTATGTGACTGTAGGCAACTGCCTCACCAAAAAAAAAAAATTTTAACACCTTCCCCTCTGTAATTATCTCCCTCCTATTTATCCTGTACATATCTTAGTTGTACACAGTTGTTTGTATATTGTCTCCTTATTAGGCTGTAAGCTCTATTTTTACTATTAAATGACTTGCAATGTGCATTTTTAAAAAGCGTTATTGATACAGTGAAAGAAATAGGAGGGGACTTGCTGAAACTTGTTCCCATCTAGCACTGGCTAAATAATTTAAGTAGGTCATGGGACTATTTTGATCCCCTTTTCCTACTCACAATCCCAAATAAATCAAATCCCTCAAGCTAGAGAGTCAATAAACATTCATTATGCACCTACTAGGTGCCAGCCAGTATGTTAACAATGGGAATACAGAAGAGCATGGGAAAGGTACAGTTTCATGTCTGTGGCTATTAACTTTCCCCGAACAGACTGCAGCATTATTGTGAAGTTGCTGTCCTTTCCCCTACTCTTTCTTTTTCCCTATCAATTCCATTCATCCCTTACTTCCAAGCCCCTACCTGAGGCTGGTTTGGCCTGAGGCACCTTCCTCTTCTTTAGCTCCTCATCCTCAGGTACATAGTTCCGCAATCTGAGTTCCCTGTGGAATCAATCACAAAGAAAGACTATGTTAAAAAACATTTAGTGTTCTTTTATAAAAGCTCCACAATCTGGAATCCAAAGCCCTGGAAAACACCCACAGTTATGAGGTATAACCACGATGAAGAGTCAGCAAAAGAGACTGAGAAAAAGCAGTCACATAGGTAGGAGGAAAACCATGAAAAGAGTCCTGCCAATGAAACCTAAAGAGATGAAAACTTCAAGGAGAAGAAGATGATCAATAATATCAAAAGCTGTGGACAGATCAAGAAAGACAATTGAGAAAAGGTCATTAGATCAGTCAATTAAGAAATCACTGTTAACTACAGAAAGAGTTCTAGTTGAATGGTAAGATCACAATTCAGACTGCACAGAGTTAAGAGAGTGAAAGAGAAGGAAGTGAAAGCATCTACTGTAGGGGCCTTCTCAAGCTTAGCCACTGATACAGAACATTAGTAGGGATGGATGGATGAAGTGAGGATGGGGGGGGCAGTGTGTGAGGAGAGATGAGCATATTTGTAGGCAGTTGAGAAGAGCCAGCAGACAGAGAGAGATTGAAGACAAGTAAGAAAGTAGAGCTAATAGAGGGCGCAATCTGCTGGAGAAGACAAGATAGAAAGGGATCACTTATGTATATAGAGAGGTCTACCTGGGCAAGGGCCACAACTTCACATGAGATACGAGTGAAGGAGGAGACAGTGGCAGAAGACACCTGACTGATGTGAGATGAAAATGAGGGGAGAAGAAGGATCTTTTAGCAAATGTTCTCCATTTTTTCCAGTAAAACATCAGGCAATGTTCTCAGCTTTGAGGGTGGGGAGGAGGAAAAGCTATGAGAGGTTTGAGGAAGGATGAAAGGGTTTAGAAAAACTACTGTGATAAATGGGATGGAGAATCAATTAGAGAGACACAAAAGGACTGCCTTGTCACAGTGAGGGTCCAGTTGAAATTATGTAACATAAATTTGGAGGGGATCCAGACAGCACAGTTTTGTGATTTTCTTCTGCAGCTTCATTTGGCAGCACGTAAGTAGGAATGAAGGCAGCAGATGGTAGGAGTATTCCAAGGCTAAGGCTTGGCAGGGCAAGATCTTCAACAAAATAAAGAGGCAAAGGACTGGAAGGAAGAAGACAGTGTAGAGCTGAACTGGTTCTCCAAAAGGTCATATTGGGGAAGGGAAGAGAACACAGCCAGTGCAGGGGCTATAGTCTGGGAAAGAACTGAGAAGAAACTAAATGTGACAGAGAGGACTAAGAAAGGGGTTTGGGGCTGCAAGGTAGGGGAAGAGGTAGAAATGACAACTGATTGTGATCAGATAAGGGAATTTCAGAGTTCACGAACATGGAAGTAGAGCATTGTGGGTGATAGAAAGAACAAAAGTAAAACCATCTCTGTGTGTAGCTGAGGTTAGATGGAAGACTAGGTCATGGGAAATCAGTTAATTGAAGAACTGTATAGTTAGGGTGTCTGAGGAAGTATTAATATGTATGGTGAAGTCCTCCAGTATGATGGCAGGAATTGGATAGGAGAGAAAGACTGTAAGTCAGGCACTGAATACACTGAGGAAAGAAAGGGAGCATCAATACCAGTTCTGGCGCTGTATCCCAAAGAGATCATAAAAGTGGGAAAAGGACCCATGTGTACAAAAATATTTATAGCAGCTCTTTTTTGTGGCGGCAAAGAATTGGAAATTGAGAGGATGCCCATCAGTTGGGGAATGGCTGAGCAAGTTGTGGTATGTGAATGTAATGGAATACTATTGTGCTATAAGAAACGGTGAGCAGCCAGACTTCAGAAAAACCTGAAAAGATTTGCATGAACTGGTGCTGAGTGAAGTGAGCAGGACTAGGAGAACACTGTACACAGTAACAGCAACATTGTGTGATGACCAACTTTGATAGACTTGGCTCTTCTCAGTAATGCAATGATCTAAGACAACTCCAAAAGACTCATGATGGAAAATGCCATCCACATCCAAACAAAGAACTATGGAGTCTGAATGCAGATGGAAGCAGACTATTCTCTCTTTGTTGTTGTTGTTATTGTTGTCATGGTCTTTCCCTTTTGTTCTGATTCTTCTTTCACAACATGACGAATGTGGAAATATGTTTAACATGATCATATATGTATAGCCTAAATCAGATTACAGGCTGTCTTGGGGAGGGGGATAAATTTTGGAACTCAAAATCTTATAAAAAAGTGAATGTTGAAAACTAAAAATAAATGAAAATTTTTAAAAAAATATAACATATCTTTACATCATGACTAATGGGAAAATATGCTTAATATAAATGTATAAGTAGAGCCTACATCAGACTGCACACTGTCTTGGGGCGGGGGGGAGGAAAAGGGACAAAATTTAAAACTCAAAATCTTACGGAAGTGAATGTTGAAAACTAAAAATAAATAAACTGTTTTTTTTAAAGCATAACACATAAATGTTGTTAATTTTAAAAAAAGGAGAGGAGCATCTTGGAAGTAGTAAACAACAGCTACCAGAATTCTGATTGGGTGATAGATATGGATTTAGTTAACCTCAAAGAAGGAGAAGTTACCATGTGAAAGTGACAGAAAATGATCCCGGAAATGACAATGGGTTTAGATATTGAAAAAGATAAACCTCAGTCCACCCTTTGTCCAGATTAATACAGACTATAATAAAGTTTTCCTGTATTAATAAGGTTAAGATTCAAGAATGGGATCTCAGCTGATTTACTCACATAACTGAAAAGAAAGTTCTTAAAGAACTAACCTAGACAAACAGCTCATCAAATGTACTAAAGGACAATACTCTTAAGACTGATCCCTAGAGTTTTTGTGGGTTTTCCCCTCCATTCTATAGTTTACTAGACACAAACCATAAATAGCAGTGGCTATGGCGAATTTAAACTAGTCACTGCTTGCTGGACTGATTCTCACTGGACATTCTATCCTCTGTGCATTTGCTACTCTTCAGTGCACTCTTTCAGACTGAAGCCTGGCCTGTGTCTAAAAATCAGTGTCGGGGCAGCTAGGTGGTGCAGTGGATAAAGCACCGGTCCTGGATTCAGGGGGACCTGAGTTCAAATGCAGCCTCAGACACATTACACTCACTAGCTGTGTGACTCTGGGAAAGTCACTTAACCCCAGTTGCACTCACTAAAATTATATATATATATATATATATATATGTATGTATGTATGTATATATGTATGTATGTATGTATGTATGTATGTATATCAGTGTCTCTGAAGCTTGCTCAGAAATGGCCTTAACAAAATAGTTTACCTGTCAGATTTACGGAGAGCAAAGAATTTATGACCAAACAAGAGACAGAGAACATTATGAAATGCAAAATGGACAATTCTGATTACATTAAATTGAAAAAGTTTTGCACAAACAAAACCAATGCAACCAAGATTAGGAGAGAAGCAGAAAACTGGAAAAGAATTTTTACTGCCAGTGTTTCCGATTAAGGCCTCAATTCCAAAATATATAGAGAACTGAGTCAAATTTATAAGAATACAAGTCATTCCCCCATTGATAAATGGTCAAAGGATATATACAGGCAGTTTTCAGATGAAGAAATTAAAGCTATCTGTAGTGATATGAAAAAATGCTCTAAATCACTATTGATTAGAGAAATGCAAATGAAAACAACTCTGAGGTACCACATCACACCTATCAGACTGGCTAACATGACAAAACAGGAAAATAACAAATTCTGGAGAAGATGGGAAAACTGGAACACTAATGCACTGTCAGTGGTGTTGTGAACTGATTCAACCGTTCTGGAGGGCAATTTGGAACTATGTCCAAAGGGCTACAAAAATATGCATACCCTTTGACCCAACAATACCACTTCTAGGTCTGTATCCCAAATAGAACATAAAAATGAGAAAAGGATCCACATGTACAAAAATATTTACACAGCAGCTCTTTTTGTGGTGGCAAAGAACTGGAAATTGAGGGGATGCCCTTCAGTGAGGGTACATGAACGTAATGGAATACTACTGTGCTATAAGAAATGATGAGCAGGCAGATTTCAGAAAAACCTAGAAAGACTTGAATAAACTGATGCTGAATGAAGTGAGCAGAATCAGAAGAGCACTGTACACAGTAACAGCCACAATGTGTGACGACTAACTTTGACAGACTAATCTCCTCTCAGCAATGCAAAGATCCAAGACAACTCCAAAGGTCTCATGATGGGAAATGCTGTCCACAGCCAGAGAAAGAACCATGGAGTCTGAATGCAGATCAAAGCATATTATTTGATATCTCTTTTTTTGTTGTTTGTTTTTTCTTTCTCACGGTTTCTCCCATTGGTTCTAACTCTTCTTTACAACATGACTAATGTGAAAACATTATGAATGTATATGTAGAGCCTATATCAGATTGCACACTGTCTTGGGGAGAGATGGGGAGAAAATCTGGAACTCAAAATCTTATGGAAGTGAATGATGAAAACTAAAAATAAATTAATTTTTAAAAAATGGCCTTAATGTAAGATGTGGCCCTTCAAAAATAAAAATGTAGAACTAGATCAATCAATCAATCATCAAATATTTATTAAGTGCCTACCATTCTAGGCACTACGCTAAGCACCAGGGATAGAAAAAGAAGCAAAAGACAGTTCCTGCCCTCAAGGAGCTTACAATCTAGTGGAGGAGACAACAAATATATACAAGGCAGGTTACATACAGGATAAATAGGAAATAATTAATAGAGAGGAGGCACTGGAATTAAGGGGGTTAGGGAGGGCTTCCTTATAGAAGATTGGATTTTAGTTGGAACTTAAAGGACGCCAGAGAGATCAGCAGTCAATGTGGAGGAGAGGAAGCATTCCAGACTTGGGGGATAGCCACAGAAAATATGTGGAACTGAGAGACATAATGCCTAGGACAGTCAGGAGGCCAATGTCATTGGACTGAAGAGTTTACATTGGGGAGTATGGTATAAGAAGACTGGAAAGGTAGAAGGGTGCTAGGGTAGAAAAAGTCTGAATGCCAAACAGAGCA